GAAAAACAGGACATGATGAAGAAAGTAACTTTAAAGGATCATTCAACTTTAGAAAAATTTTCATTTAAGTCATTTAGATTTATTATTTTTAATAAAAAAATACTTTATTTTCTCTAATTTATTGATATATCAATAAAGTCACTTAACTTTCTCTAATATATCTATAAAGTCATTATAGCCAAAAAAAAAAGTTGAAAAAATAATTATAAAGTACAAAAACTTCACCTCAATTTTGGTTTAGCAACACTATTAATTTTTTAAAACCAAAACCCGATGCTTAATTCAATGAGGGATTGGCTGAGACAGGGAGCTTGGGCCCTCGAGAATTCACGTGCCACTACGAGAGAATATTTTTTGGATAAATTCCATATCCCTTTTTCGAATCTCTAATTGAGAAGAGTCATATTAGTTTCGAATCTCAGTTTCTCAATTAAAAGGAAAGGTACTCTTGCTCAGGAATTGAGACGAACATTTTACCATGTCATAGTGGAGTGAATAGCTAGGATTATTATATTGGAGATCGTGTACAATAAAATTTTTTATGTATATATGATATCGATTTTATTAAATATAAAAGAAATAATTTAACTAGTTTGTTGTTTAGATATATACTTTTATTTGATTAATTTTATTATTAAAAAATGTCATTTCCCATCAACATTGTTTTAAACATGTGGAGTTTGGGTGACACATTAATGAGTTGAGATGTGACAATGTTAAAGTATGTCCATATTAAATTTTAGTTAGACTAGTATACCACGTTAGTTCACTTATTTGGAAAATGATTTTCTACTTTATTTATTACCCTTTATGTGGAAATAAATAAATTTGGGATATAGACTGTTCAGCTACCATATAGTCTCCTATTGAAAACCCTTATTGCTAAGTATTCATATTGATTGTGCTTTTTATCTACCAAAAAATGACCTAAATAATAATGCATTGTGATTTACCACGTTTTAAAGAGGTGTAAAATGACTTTTATTTTGTTTATTATTATTTTTTTCTTTGCTATGAATGGACAGCTCAAATTTTGGAAGGATTAAATAATAAGTTAAAGCAGTAATGGCAAAAAAAAAAGAGTTAAAATCTTTATGATTTCCTCTTTTTCCATTTAGTTGTATGGTATATTAAACATAATTACTTTTTAAAAGAGAAGTTATTTTTATTTAAAAAAATAAATTGTTCTTTGTATTAATTAAGTAAAATTCAAGATGCGCATATTAATAGATAAAAAGTAAAGATATATTAATCAAATTACTCTTTTAATTAATATTTTCTTAAAGATTGTACGAAATCATGACAATGAAATGAGAATAGTGAGACTTAGGAGTATGTAATACAAAAATTGAGGGGGGGAGGGGGGGGATATAACTTTACCCGTAATCTATTTTTGATAACTTTCAAAACTTTACGTCTAATTTTATATCGTTTAAAAGATAATTAATGAATTTAAATCGCTATAGATATTTTCTAGCTTTCATTTACTTTTACTTATTCATAATGAACTTTGCACACTTTTATAATATAAAAAATATATTTTGTCATGATACTTGTATTTATTGATTCATAATTTATAATGGATTTGAAATAAGTAATTACTATTCTAATTATTTATTTTTTTAAAAAAATTATTGTATACAATCTTGTGCTGACAATGAAATGAGAATTGTGGGAGTGTTGATACGAAAAATTGTTTAGTGAATGTGAATGAGTTATCAATTTTAGTAGAGACTCAAACTAATTATTGGATGATAACTTCACACATAATCCGTTTTTATAACTATCGAAACTCTACATCCAATTTTACATAGTTTTTTGAAAGAGATTTAATGAATTAAGTCTTTATCAATATTTTCTGTTTATTTTTAATTATTTATAATGAACTTTAAATATTCATTTAGAAAATAAATAAAATACATATTTAATTATAATACTAATATTAATTGATGTATGGTTCTTAGTATATTTGAAATGATTACTTATTTTTCGAATTAATTTTTTCTTAAAAATTGTACAAAATCTTATCCTAACAATGTAATGAGAACGTGAAAGTATGTGATACATAAAATGATTTAGTAAGTGTGAATAAGTTACGAATTTTGTTGAAATCGAATCAATTATTGGGTGATAATTTCACACAGTGACCTATTTTGAATAACTTTCAAGACTTCACATCTAATCATGTATAGTTCTGAAAAATATTTGATTATTCCTAAAGGAGAAATTAATGTTTTAAGTAAAATTGAAGAAATAATTATTATTTTTATTGATAAATATAGTTATAGTATCATAATAGAAGAAATAATTTCAAATTACTATCTTTAATTGTAGTATTTCCTATTATTTCCTTTACTTTGGTTATAGTACTATATTCGTTTTACATATAAGATTATGTACATAATATTACCCTTTTAGACCCACCTATTTAATTACACTACTGTTATTATTTTTAATATTGTTAACAAATATATATTTAATTGCAAAAACTTGGAAATTCGATATCACAACGCATTTAAAACTAGATAGTTTAACAATTAAATCCCCTCATAGTCCGAATAATTTCACATAAACCAAAGGAATAAATATTTTTGATATCTTATATAATTTTTATTGATTGACCATGTAAATTGACCTTCATGTACAAACCAAAAAAATATTTAACTAAAAAAACGCCTTTTCCTATAATAAAAAATATTCAAATAGTTTATTAGTATAACAAACAAAATTTACATTAAATTTAAGTTTTAATAACATTGAAATTAGTGCATACATATAATAAAGTTAATTTCAACGTGTAAATCAACTCTTTGACTTTTTGTCACCCTTATCTATTGTTTAATTACCCTTCCAATTTTTCCTTGACTAATTACTCAATTATAAATGCAAATGTTTAGTTTATGGCATGATACAATGAATTATCAGCTGCTAATGGGAACTCCATTTGTTTTTTTGCAAACAACTCTGCCGATTATCTTTTGTATATAGTTACTGTTATATACTTTTATTATTACAAAACTGTGGGCAATATGTTTAATATTGATCAAATTAATATGAATCTTAGTGCTAGACTGATAGATATACATGCATACTGCTCCACTAATAACAAAAAGAGAGTTTCAAATTAACTTTGATACTTATAAATCAATCAGATTAAGATCACATCTTATAATATGTAAGTAGCTAATAACAATAATGAAGAAACCTTACCCCAGAACACGAATCAGGTTCTTGTAAGTTGTTTTTAAGTAAAGACACAAACACTTATTGAATTAAAAACCTTCCTCACTCAAGGAAGGAAAAATCCCGTTTTATTAATTCAACTATAAGATTTTGTGATTACAACTCAATAATCAAAAGTTTTATCTCTACTCCCTCGATTGACTCCAATCGATCTCTCCAAAAGGCCAAACCCACCTTTTGTTACAACTCTTACTAACACTCAATCCTACAAAGAGCCAAACCCACCCTTTGTACAACAAACTGTAAATTACAATCAAAACAAAAACAAGACAAATAGTTCTACACGATAAAACCTTCTCACTCAAGAATGTTTTAAGCATAGCAATCCTATCAACCTTGAAGACTTCAATTGGATGAATAATTCTCCCTTGTTCTCTGCGTGAAGTATCTGTAGTGCTTATCACTATCATTTTGAGGTAGAAAAATATTTTATAAGATTCGTGACTTAAGCAAATCGAAGATTGTATATACGTAGCTTGTTCACATTATTTAATTTCAAATTTTTATAGTGACATATTTAAGACCACAAGATCAAAAGACATTTTGGTATGTTTATCATATCTCTAAATTTATATTACTCCCAAATTCAAATATTTTCTTTAAACAAAAAAATCACGTCAAGTTAAAATATGTTTATCAAATACTTCATCTAGTTTATATTAAGCGAATTGTCAGACCTTTTTTATGCTTACCTTTTATTTTAATGAAATTCTTAATTACTTTGCATTTTCTAACCGAATAATTTAAAAATAATCAAAAACAAATAAATAGCCAAAAATACTTATAAACTGACTTAACCAATTAATAGGCTTAGTCACACCTCTAATTTCAATTATAATGAAGATCTTATTACGTCAAATTATGATTATTTTTCCTTCAATTTGGACGTTTTAACAAATAAATATTTAGTTTAAGGAATTATCATGTATGAAAGTAGGAGTAAAATTTTGATTAGGCAATCAATTTTCCTTTTTTAATTGTGCACATTCTTTTATTCCTTTTATTTTTTCTTTTTAAAGGAGGAAGATTTTTCAAGTAAAAGATTTTTTTTTAAAATAGTCAATATATGGATGAGGTGAAGTTCCTTAAACTAATCATATTTCTTATGTTTCACTTTGTTTAATATTCAAATCACGACTAAGTTCTTAATTTTCGGTATATATAATGATAAAACTTCTTTAATGTTTAATTTTGGTGATAAAGAAGTGTTGAGTCTTTGAAAAATGTGTTTGGGTTTGATTACGTGAGACCAACGAAAACAATATCACTTATTTAATTTAAAATGTATATATTCCACATCAGCTTCTAATAATTAAGTAGTAGAGGGGAATTTTTGGACTTAATTTTAATATTTGAGGACAATTTTTTATCCAAATAGATATTGGGAAAAATTTATCCAATAGATAGAAATTATTTATTTTTATAAAGATGTATACAATATTATCCATAACCTTCTGTTTTTAATAGATTCTTAGCTTAAAAAGTTTTTCAAGTACAAGTGCCATTGGTGACAAATCAAATAAAATACTTCCTCGGTTTCAAAAAGACTGACCTAGTTTGATTTGGAACGGAGTTTAAGAAAAAAAAGAAAGACTTTTTAATCTTTGTGATTCTAAATTAAAGTTATGTCAAATGTACAAAAATATCCTTTAATCTTGTTATCTGAAACATCCCAGATGAAAAGTTAAAATTAAAGTGTTGCCAAAAATACCAACAAGAAGAGTGCTTAGTGAGGAGACAGCATCGGAGGGAGGAAATTCTCGCGAATAATGTTTCGATATTATTTACATAGAAACAAAGTTTTACATGCCAAAATGTATATTGTTTATCTGTAACAAGTAACAATCCCTTTTTCTCTCACTATCTACGCAACTGCTAAGAAAAATTCTTCAAGTAAGAAAAAAAAAAGAATACTAACTACTCCTATACTAAACATGAAGGAAAAAGATACTTGTTTGTTCTTTCAATTTTCTAGTTGTCCACATTTTCTTTTGAATTCACTGGAACTTGAATTGTGTCGTTATCTTTGTTGTTTACAACATCACCAGAAGCTACACTTGTCTCTTGAGTCAAATCAACTTCATGATTTGACTTTTCGGTGATAGTTACCTTATCTTCTTGTTTTACAACTTTATTATCTATTTTGCTTGCATTATTCGAACTTGATACCGTATGAACTGATCCATTATTCGAACTCTCTGATTCTTCAGTTTCCATCTTAGTATTAGATGGCTTAAGAACAGACTCAGGATCAACTTTTGACACATTCGTGGTCCCTGCTTTCTCCATTGAAACAGGTGTGGCCTCCTGTATACGCCAAGAAATGAGATTGTGAAATCACTAAATCAGAATAATATGCACGATAACCTTGTTCATCTGTAAATAATATGCATGATAAAAGCTTTTGCAATTTTCGTAGTACTGAGTAGAATATAATACAAATTACGTACTTTTGTGGGCAATTGAATATCTGCTACAAGCACTGGAGGAGCGACTTCATCATGTTTTGATATCTCCAACTTTGCGACATGGAGATCATTTGTGTTGGTTATAGCCTCCGTTAGCCTCAATTCTTTTGAATCTACTGATGAAAATATTCGTTCCTTCTTCGTGATGGACTTTTCAGTGTCTTGACTATTTTCCATAGGTTCCGTCTCAGGGGCATGCCCTGTTTCAGATGCTAGAACCATATCTGAAGCAATTGAAGAGGAAGAAGTATTTTTCTTAATGGAAGGAGGACTGGCATCATAAATAGGTTCCAAATGTGAACTTTCCTCTACTGAACTCTTTGTGATGTTTAGATTTGACACATTAGGATGCTCCGAAATGGTTTCAATATGAAACATCGTGTCCTCTGAAGTTAATTTTACTTCTACTTTGTCGGGAAAGATCCTTTCACCTTCTTCTTCTGATGATGACGAAGAACTTGATTGACTACTACATTTTTGTTCAGAAGTAGCTGAATTTGAACAAATTTTAGATGGATCAAGTTTCGTGGAAATGATTGTTGTTTCTTCCTGGAACACAATTGGTACTACTTCATGATGATTTTTCGTATTTAATTGTTTAACATCAGTGTCATCGAGTTCAATATCTCTTTTATCAGATGCACCTAAGACCAAACATTCTACTTCTTCAGACGATTGGCTTCCATGCCCAATATCATCGGTAGCATGTTCTATCTTCGATATAAGCTCTGGCATAGGTTCATCTGTTATGTTCTTGTCTTCTACATCTTCTTCATTCAGGTTCTTGTATTCAAGATCTTCAATTGAGCCTTGTGACTCCGTTTCAAGAACAGAACTTGCTTTAGAATCACTAAGATCACTAGGGTGCCTTTGAAATGGTGAATAACTTGTTTCTTCATCAGCCATCACATCAGGAACAAAATAAGGTCTAAATCGTGTATCTTTCTTGTTCAACCCAAAGATTGAGGGCCCGACATTAAAACTTTCGTGCCTCCTAAAAAATGTCTCTTTTGGTTGAGATGTGATAATCTCTTGTTCGAAAGTATCTCGTGTAAGATCAGGTTTTTCTTCACTTGGTTCATAAAGAAGATCAAATGGATTCCGCTTATACCTTGGCAACAAAATAGACGGAGCAGATCCAGGGATTTGAGGAAGTTCAGGGCCGTAGTTGTCATTAGGTTGATCAAAAGGGTTCTGTCTTGCTGTTGAAATGGGAGGAATGAAATCAGTAGTTTCCAAGTCTATCAAACTCTTCTCATCTTTGAAACTCATGTTCTTTTGTGATTTTCTCCTTGCAATAACACTCTCCAATCGTTGATTCATTTCTAGCTCGGAGGTTCCCAAGTCCATTAGATTTCTCTGATCCTCTTCCGTCCATGTAATAACAGACTTTGGACCTTCCGTATCTTGAACTTCTTCTTCTTCATCATCATCCTCCGCAACTTCTACTTCTTCCTGGTCTTCAGAAATATCATCAGATTCATCATCACTCTCGGAGGATTTGGTAGAACTCTCTGAAGGAGCATGAGAAACATCTTGTGACAAACCGATAGGTTGAGGATTGTCTTCCTGTAAAAGTGGATGTAGCTCATCAAGCATTGGCATAATATCAGCTATTGAAGCATCAGGAGATGAGCTCTCTGCTCCATCAGACCCCGAATATAAGGCCTCCTCCCTACGTTTCCAAGAACCGGGAGGAGAATCAAGATTAACCCTCCTAGAATCGAATGAATCAACTGATTTGTCATTATCAAACTCAAGGGTCTCATCATCAACCTTTGAAGTTGGAGAATACTGATTCTCCACAAGTTCAGCATCACTAAATTTATCTTCATTCTTATTCTCATAAAACTCCCTTGCCATTTGCCCCGAAACTCCACCAACTAAAACTCCTCCAAACCTTTTACCCCTATGAACCTCACTACGCGTTGAGTGGTCTACTTTATCCCTCTCTTGATCATTACATCTTTCGGTGAAGTAACTATTATCACTCTCAACACCACTAGCATCTCGTGTTTCCAAAGGCACTACATGATCAATTGTGTTCTCTTTCCATTCGAATTCAGGTACATTAGGCTGAGCATAACTTAGTAAAGTTCCAAGCAATGCAGTAGTGCAGACAAGAATAGGGGAAACAGACACCAAGATTGAAAACACAAAAGGAAATGATTTGTACAAAAATGCCAAGAAACACAACATACCTACAAGGAATGGATGATTCCAAATTGTCCTAAAACACACTTTAATAGGAAAAATTACAACTTTCCTCATTTTAAACTCCAATCTCAACAACCTAAAATGAAGCAACTTTCTCAGAAATGGGATCAATTTTTCTTCTAAAAAAAATAATAAAAACTAGGATAAATTCCCTTTATATCAAGACAGAGAATAAAAATCCCACCTTTAACAAATCAATTCAAACACAACCATAGAATTCCTGCAAACAATATCATATTGAAATAACAAGAATTGATTAAACAAAGAGAATCAAGACAAAGAAAAGAAAATACCATACTAGGGTGGAAATATAGATCAATTTGAATAGTCCACAAAAACCCATCAACTGTTTGTGATGGTATAGAAAAATATGGATGATATAGAAAAATATAAACCAATGGTTATACGGACATCTAGTTAGATTCTTAACTACTATTACATGTTTTTTATTATTTTTAAGTTTTAATTGTATTTCAACCATGTGTTGGCACAAGGAGCAATCTAGTACTCAACACTTGAATCTTCAAAATCAAAACTCTTCAAGATGTTTCACACTATTCAACATGCATATTTACAAAAACTTGCAATACAACAATCTCTTTAATCTTTCAAACAATGGATAAGCCATTGAATGATAATCTAATAATAGCTCCATTTTCTTGTCATGAATCATGGGTGATTGTTTGGGCACTACTCCACTTCTTCCATGCCAACTTTGAGAAAACAGATGTTTGGGCACTACTCCACAGCTTCGTGATTTAATGAAACAAAATAAACTATAAAATTTAAACACATGACATACATGTATTGACTTGGTGTAAATATTCGGTGCGGATAATTTTTATCCTTTTTTTAATTCTGCACATTCTTTTTTTTTCTTATAAAAGGAGGAAGATTTTTCAAGTAAAAGAATTTATTTATTTCTTTTAAAAAAAACTCAATGGATGAGATGAAGTTCTTTAAACTAATCATGTTTTTTTATGTTTCATTTTGTTTAATATATTTTAAACGGCGACAAGTCTTAATTTTCGATATATATATTTGAAAACAGTATATTTAATGATAAAACTTCTATGATGTTTACTTTGGATGATAAATAAGTGTTTGAGTCTTTGAAAAAATGGACTTGGAATTAATTGCACGAAATTAATAAAATAATGTCGTATATTTAATCTAAAATGTATATATATCACGTCAACTTCTATTAATTAAGTGGAGGGAGATATTTGGCTTAAGTTTAACATTTGAGGAGATTTTCTTTTTTATAAAAATAGATAGAATTTAAGAAAATTTGATCAGTAGATAGAAGGATAATATTTTTGAATTGTTTTTAATACGTCAACATCATTTTTAATCTTTTTAGTAGATCCTAATTTCATAAATACGAAGTATTCTTTGTTCTTTAAATCTTTTGGCAAAATAAATAACCATATAAATAAAGATCGGAACTGTGAATAGTCGCCTTAATAATAATCTAATTTTTTTAAAATTAAATAATGATTCAATTCATATACTTTTCTTACAAATATTAATTGTTTTAATATCAACATGACTTGGTACTAGAGTCTAGAAGCACTATTTGGATCATATTTAACAGGTGCTTAAAGTATTCATTTGTTTTCTAAACAAAAATAAAGTTACAAATAATATTACGTTATAGAAATCTGACCAAATCATATTAATTATTCCCTTAATTACAATGTTACGTCATAGAAGTTTTGACCAAATTATATTACTTATTTAATTTGTTAGTTTTTATTTATTTTAAATTTTATATATTTTTTAAAGAGCCAAACAATTTAAGTATGAAATCTTTATTTTTTCTATATAAAAGTATATTAAGTTACAATAATTGACAATTCAAAATTGATTTTTGAAATATGAAATATGATTGAAATGAATAGAGTAATTAATATGAATGTTTAATTATAATATTCATATAAACTGAACAAGTAAAATTAAACGGAGAAAAAGAATTAGGCGGAACAAGTAAAATTAAACGGAGAAAAAGAATTAGGCGGGTGGGTGGGTGGGTGGGGGGGTTAAATGAGAGCAGAGTCACAAATAGAACAAGTCAAGATCATCACGGCGCCGTAAGCACTACTTAAACTCTCTGTTTGTGCATATATAAATATGTCTCCACATCTTCACAAAATCTTAACTACTACTTCTATCTCCATTTGCTTTTAATTAGTAGTGACATAAATATATACATAGACTCTTTCTTGTATCTTTATTTGCAATATAAATTATACTACGTGTCTACACGATAACATAAAATCTCCTTTTTGCTATCTCTTTTCTCTATATATGGCTTTTGAATTCATGAAAATCACGTTCTCAAGCTCACGTCAACTTCGAAAATTCTTTATATCACTATAATCCACAACCAAAGACTTTTAAGCCTCATATAATCACAACCACAACCTATCTTGTATGAGATAAATTTCAAGTGCTATAAATATACCTAACGAAAAGTTATAGTTAGCAGTACTGAAAAAAACGAGATAAACATGAGTAATTGTTTGCAAAGCTGGCCGGAGCCAATTGTCCGAGTTCAAGGACTCTCGGAAAGTGGCATTCGAGAAATCCCTGACCGGTACGTGAAACGACCATCGGATCGTCCATGTTTCAAGGAGACAACAACGTTGTCGTCATCATCACACCTTGAGAATATTCCGTTAATTGACCTTGAAAACTTGAATTCATCGGATGAATCCATTCGCGATGAGACAATGGAACTCATTTCCAAGGCTTGTCGCGAATGGGGTTTCTTCCAAGTGGTGAACCACGGCGTTAGCCATGAACTTATGGCTAACGCACGTAGCGTCTGGCGGGAGTTCTTTCATCTCCCGCCAGAGGAAAAACAAAAGTTTGCGAATTCACCCGTTACTTATGAAGGATATGGAAGTAGACTTGGAGTTGAAAAAGGTGGAAAATTGGATTGGAGTGATTATTTCTTCCTCCATTATCTTCCTGAGCCTTTGAGGGATTACAACAAATGGCCTTCCCTTCCCATTACATGCAGGTAACTCCTAATTTTTTAATTTCAATTTTTTTTTCATATAGTATATTTAAATATATTAAATTAAAAAATATTTTAATATATTTAAAAATTGAGATATCTATCTTAATTTTTTGTACCTTTTTGCACTCTGTATCAAGTTGAAACAGATATTGCATAAGGAAATGAATATTAAAAACTACGACTTTACATTAAAATAAATAAATAAATACGTCTGCTCACGTACTTTCTTTAAATTACATATACGACTTTAACACATCCTCACATGTTGCGTCGGTGTGTTAATCATTTCCTTTTTCTATTCAACTATTCCAAATATGTCGGTATATGTTGGCAAATATATATTTTTTTATATGTTGTGTGATACTTGTTTTTTTTTAAATATATTACAATAATATAAAAAGGTGTTATTTGGTTTTAAAAAAGAATGGTTTTAATTTTATTTTGTATATGCAATTTAAGAAAAATAAAGAGAATTTTTTAATTTATAATTTTAAATTAAAATTATATTAATATATCATAATATAATTAACTATGTGATCTTAAACATATTGCTATAAAATCTGTTATTGTTTTAAATAATTGGAGTTAATTTAAAAATATTTACTTATTCGATTCAGTCTTGAATTGAATTTTAGAAAATGAAATATGACAAAACTGAGATTGGATGAATGTTTTCAAAGATTTAGCATGGACCATTGGACAATGATAAAGTGATCAAGTTTTTACAAAATGAGAAATTTTACTATGAACATCATATAAGCTATTATATTTGTTCGAGACTTTTAATCATTGGATATTTTTATCTTCCTCCAATTGTATTAAGGAAGATATATTTACTTCTTGTAAATTCGTATAAAGTAAAAATATATCAAAAAATTAAATTGAATGGAGTAATTTCCGCTCAATATCTATAGTTATCGTAAAAGAAATGATATTTTGAATCTCGGTGTCTTGATTTTAACTACAAATATTCAGTTACTCCTTTGGAAAATGACAAAAGATCTTTTTTAAGAGCTTACAAACATTTAGAGAGTTTTTAAACTATGATATATAAATTATTATTAAAAACAAAAAAAAAATTTTTTTAAGCTGATTAAAAAGAAAAAGGTGTTAAATAAATTGAATAAATGGAATACCTCTTGAAATAAGTTGATTTTGATAGTTTCGCCTCAAAGAGGCCTAGTGGATGATGCACTAGTTGATAATTAACGGTGTAAAAAAGTATATTTACATAATTAAATCAGTAAATTTCTTAATAAATAAATATCGATGGATCGGGTCCTATGTGGGGGTGTTTGGGACCATGGTCCTGACCACCTTGGCTGGTTGGTAAATGCAAGTTGCTGTCTTAGTACTAGTATGCTTATTTAAAAAGTACATAATCCTTCTGAAAAAACATGTCAAACGTGAAAATAATTTAATATTTGTACATTTTTTCCATCTAACTGACTTTTGTCTTTTTCTTTCTTTTTGTAATTTGTAAGGAAAATAATTGGTGAATATGGACAAGAAGTAGTAAAATTAGGTCGAAAAATAACAAATATCTTGTCGATTAACCTTGGATTAAATGAAAATTATCTACACACAAAATTTGGTGGAGACAATGAAAGAGGTGCATGTTTAAGGGTTAACTTTTACCCTAGATGTCCCCAACCTGACCTAACACTTGGACTCTCTTCCCACTCTGATCCTGGTGGCATGACCCTTCTCCTCCCCGACACCGACGTCCCCGGCCTCCAAGTCCGTCGTGGTGATGACTGGATAACGGTTAAACCGATTCCTAATGCCTTTATCGTTAATATTGGAGATCAAATTCAGGTCAGTATTCATAACGTCTAGTAATCTCGTCAATAATAACGATAACTTGTATATTGATAGTGAATTTTTATTTTTTTTTGCAATTATTGCATGTATTAGGTACTAAGCAATGCAATATACAAAAGCATAGAGCATCGCGTGATCGTTAATTCAGGGCAAGAACGTGTCTCTTTAGCATTTTTCTACAATCCAGGAGGTGACATCCTTATTCAACCTGCTGAAGAACTTGTGACGGAGGATCAGCCGGCGTTATATTTACCGACGACGTTCAACGAGTATCGAGCTTTCATTAGAACAAACGGACCTAGAGGAAAATCTCAAGTTGAATCACTAAAATCGCCGAGATAAATGTCCTTTAGCATGACCCCGACACGCACAAAACGAGAAATAATCCAATTATAAAGATAATTAAATTACCTTTATATGTTCTATATAGTAAGTATATGGTACTTAAGGAAGTTTTACTGCGTATAAATTCCAATTGGTAAAACATAACACAGTAAATACCCTATGTCCCTATATGATGTACTAGTACAATATGTGTTGTCATTTTCCTATGTTATTTTCAAATGTTTTGTCAAATTCACTTTGCTTTGTGAAATATTGTATTCATCCCTTCAATAGATATATGGTTCATCTAATTAATAAAATATTATGGTATTAATTGTAAGTTCATTATATGATCAACTATTTGATAATGGAATCGGAGTTAGTTCATTTTTTTTTGTTTTATAACGTAAAAATCATTTGCCTTTACCTAACTATTACGAAGTTACTTTACTATTTTATGACCAAAAAGTTACTCAATTTTCACTAAATCCTAGAAAAAAAGTCATTAATTAGGATGAATCAAAAGAAATATTTTATATGATATGTACTTATGTAGGCAAAGTTGAATGATTGTCCTGGTTACCCAAAAATTAAAATGTTTTAGTAATTTTTTATGATTCTTAAGCAAAGTTTAGTGATTCTTCATTAAAACAAATAAATTATTGACTTTTATGTGATACTTATGCAAAGTCACATAATTTTTCTGTTAATAAAAATTTAACGACTCTAATGTAATAAAATAAGGAAAAAATAAAGCAATTGTCTCTAAAATTATCCCTTAATTGTT